GGAGTTAATTATTAAGATTCGAGAAAGGTCAGACCTATTTTCGTTTTAGATAGTTCCTTATTTTGAGGGAATAGGTTTAGCGCTATTTTAATTTCTCCTTTGGCATATCGCAAAAATTCATCAACATCTTTTAAGAAAATTTGGTAACAAGTGAGAGTCGTATTTCAGTCCATAATTTTGGAGTTGCATAAAATTTTGGCAAAAAAATGGTTGGGAGGGGGGTTAGTAGGTTACCCCTGAATGTCCCCCTGGTTTTTTAGAATTTGCCATCGAAGGAAAAATAGTTTGCTTATAAGATGCAAAAAGTTACTAATTTTATAGAATTGACTGAGAACTTAGTACTTCCTTAAGTGAGTTATCGGCTAAAATTTGTCTGGCTATTATTTAATAGTATAATCAACAGTGATGTTAGTAAATAAGTCTTTAACATCGTAACGGACCATAATGCTCCCTTCACAGGATTTATTATGTTTCAGTTCTTTGTAAAACTCGTGGAAATCTGTGTATGATGGTTTTTTATTTTAAGGTCTGAATATTTTAGCGCTAAATTTAGAACCTCCACAAAAATGCTTCACGTTAGAGTCCGCGAGACTAAATGAAACATTAGGCTTATATTTTAGGTAAGCAGTAAAAGTACGGAGCCAATCGGTTACAGTTAAATTTAGATGTTTCAATGAAACAAAAATTTGGGGTCTGGATGGTCATGTTGGGTAATAACATGAACGGGTGCTAGCAGACTACCAACGAGGAATTAGTTTGATCAGTATCTAGGAGAAACAAGACTTTTTGAGCAATTCGTGGCGTTTGCTGGCATATTTTAACTTGTCAGCAATCACCGTGACGTCGTTTTTATCTGCCTTCTTGACTAATTATTTTAATAGCTGTAAATTTGCTAGTCGTTAAGTTGGGTTCGAGTGAATTAATTATCGTTATGATGGTTTTAATGTATTATGTCATAAGTTATAGTGACTCCACGGGATGCTTGAATTTCTCTATTGAATATTGTTTCATTTAGGGTGAAAGTCTTGTTGGTAACGCTTAAGTTTAAGCCTTTGTTCAGAACAGTTTTCTGGTTTTTTTAAGTTTGGACCTTACCTATGTTTTGTTACTATTTTATTGCTACTGTTAGCGGAGAGACAGTTAAGGCGTTTCCTAATAAAGGTTCTGGTTTCTCTTAGAAAATGGTTATTTAGTTTCGTTACTTGTATCGCACCATTTTCCATGAAGACGGCAAAAATCGTGCGTAAGATTATCATAGTTTGCGGTAAAAAGAGTCCCTTGCGTTGCTCGTTTGATACCGTTGATTTCTTGGAGGATAAATTGCAACTGTTTTTCATTTCCTCCGGCGCCTAGTCTCAAATGTCTTGTTTCCATGGTTTTAAGTGTACAAGAATCTTTGACGCAAATTTTGAAGGGTGTCTGCATGCGGAGGAATTTTGGGGTCAGGTGGAGGTCCCGGCATTTAAAAAGGGATTATATCGTCCTTACGTTTCGAGTAACATCGTACTTGTTTCTCCAGTTATCTTGAGAATGAGGAAAGCGACCATACAGCCAACTACAGAAACCAACTCGGACCCCCCTACGGAAGAAGGCTCATAAGAGACGAGTCGAAACTTCGAATGGCCAACTTATTCGTTTGCATCATGTGTGAATAAACAGCTTTTATAAATTTTTCAGTTTTCGGTATGAATACCGATGATGGACTAAATTGCTCAATCTTCAGAAAAATTCTCTGCATTGTGGCATTGCTTTAATTTTTTGTGCATTCTTGAAAAATGTAATTAATTGCTGCATTATTTCTTGAAAAATGAAATTGTTTCATTAGTATATTTTAGCTCTAAACTTTCATTGATTCATTCCTTCATGCTGGATACGGTAGTCTCAAGAATGTTTTTCCAGTAGTGCATATATCCTGCGATTAGCAGGCTGGATTGGAGATTGATCATTGGAGAAGTGTCGACTGACATTGTGGCAAGTTGAGAAACAACTTACGTTAGATACAAGATGAGTGAAATATGACTGCAATTTTAGTTATTGCAGTTCACCAGTTGGATGCTTGACTTTGATTGCCTCCTCGTTGTGCCTTGCCTCCTGGATTAACGTTGTGGCATAAATATTCAGTCATGATGCTAAAGATCAGACTGACAAACACCTAGGGTAGATAGAGAGACACCACCTATTCACTGTATTTCCAGACGCGCAGACATTCTCATTCGAGCTGTCCATCTGTATAAACCAAAAAGCCCTTTGTAGGACCACCGAAGAACCTAATTCGAATACGAAAGAAGCTAAACAGTGTCAAGTAGAATTATCAGTCATTGAAAGATGAAGAGAGTCAATCAGTCGTTACCAGAGTAGATCATCGGAAAACGATTGTAGCGTTGATGTACCAATCAGCGAAGAAATTATGAATGCTCTCAAGAAAGGGCAAAATGGTAAATCAGATGCAGTTATCAGGACGAAACGTTTGCCTAATACAGAACTGTAGGCATTATGGAACATCATTCGGGAAATTTAGCTAGCAGAGATAATTGTAGACGAGTGGCAGGAGCAGTGAATATTCCGATAGGCAAGCAGTTGCTTTGCTGGATGTCCAAAATTACAGAGGAATCAGTCCTTTATGCGAGTCACTGAAAGAATTATCGCGAGCACAATTCGACCCTACAGAGAAAATACTACCAGAGAAGAAGTCTGCGACTTTCGTCCGGGCCGATCGACCATCGACGACATTTTAACATTGCGTCTGTTGCTGGAATCGTGCAGCCAATGCCAATAACCGCTGTTCATTGAATTCGTCGTCTGAGGCAACTTTCGATTTCCCAAATCACAAGGCTGTATACGAGTAAGAAGTGACGGCATCCCAGAGAAAGGTTATC